ACACACATATCCAGGGAATCTTGACCTTTCCCCACCTACTTTGTACCTGGGCCATGCCCCCACCAAGCCAAACAGGGACTTGATCTTCATGGCTGATCTCTACCCAGCCACAAAGCCCCTGCTGCAACCAACTCCCAGCTCTACCCAAAATGGACATACCATTTTTATTCAAAGGCAGATCTCTGTGAGTTCAAGGTCAGCCTGGTCTACTTACAGAAATCCTGTCTTGAGGACAAAACAAAAACAAAACAAAAAAAAACCACCAGGAGTCCGGGAGAAGGAGAATTCAGACCGGCTGGAGTGGATCCAGGCACATGTGCAATGTGAAGGTTTGGCAGAGGTGAGGCTGTGAGCAGAGCTGGGTGCCCCAGGCAGGCTGTGAGTAGGGAATGTCCACCACACCTCCCCTAGCATGGACAGACCACACTTCACTGTGTGGGCTCACTGTCCTGCTCTTCAGGACACCCCTAGGGTTGTCTTCCTGCCTTTGGAAGAGGCAAATTGGGGGGTTTGTAGTGAGTTCTTTGAATTTTACTGGCAGAAATCAGTAGAATTAACTATTAATTTTTTTCACAAGGTCAGAAGGAATTCTAAACAGTGATAAATAGGAAAGTTTTTGTTTATATTTGTTCTGAAAAGGTGGGCAATTCTAACTGTATTACTGCCTAGAAAATGTCACCATGCCAACCTCAGACTCTGGGCACTGACCTTTCACACACAGTGGGATCATCTGTGCTCAGACTTACAAAGTGCCATTTTGTTCTTTTTAAGCAACTTATTTTCAACTCCCTCACCAACTGCCTGGGTCCCCGGAAGCTCTTGCACAGCGGGAAGTTATACAAGACAAAGAGCAGCAAGGAGCTGCACGGGTTCCTCTTCAACGACTTCCTGCTGCTCACCTACCTGGTTAGGCAGTTCGCCGCTTCCTCAGCCTCCGAGAAGCTCTTCAGCTCCAAGTCCAGCGCTCAGTTCAAAATGTATAAGACAGTGAGTGCCATCTTGATGTGAGCATCCCCTCCCACCTGCTTCCCGCCCTCCGCTCGGGGCCTCCTCCCCTGCCTCAGGTGCCTTTGACAGCGGGAGCCAGCTTTAGAATGCCCTCCTGTCCACACAACATTGGGCCACAGCCAGCATCTGCTTCTCTGTGACTCACACATCAAGCCAGGTATCAGTGTGCAGAGAGCCAGTCACAGCAGCAGCAGGGGCACTCTGAGCTGGTCCCCAGCTCAGTGACACTGGGTATTTAACTTTGCTAACCAGGCTTGTTTTTCTTCTTGGGCACAGACCTTGGGCACCAGGCCCCTCTCGCTTCCCCAACCACAAGGCTCTTCAGAACTTTTAAAAGAACTCTCTCTGGTGGGTGGAATGCTGTGGCCTATCTCACAACCAGTATTTGGTCCTAATTCTTTCAGCCCATTTTCCTGAATGAAGTGCTGGTGAAACTTCGCACGGACCCTTCCAGCGATGAGCCTGTCTTCCACATCTCCCACATTGATCGTGTGTACACCCTCCGAACAGACAGCATCAATGAGAGGTCGGTCCTCATCATGTTGCCTGTCTTGAACTAGTCTGGGAGGCAGCATGGGCATGTCCCAGTGCCAGAAGCCCAGCTCCACTCATGGTCAAGCCGTGCCGACTGTAACCCCAGCCTCCCCGGCCCCACAGTAGGCTCGTCATACAGCTGCCTACTAACAGTAGCCTGCCTCCTGTCTCCTCATAAGCTCCCCAAATGGCAGATCCACACCTGGTCCCCACTAAAATCTCCTTGGGGGTTACCTGAACCCCACAGATCTGCATCCCACAGACTTGCACTTGGCCAGCTGGCCACCCTCTCTGCCATATGCCCACCAGCCATGCTTCCCTCCAGTGGAGCTCCCAGGGTAAGCACCTCTGATGACAATCCCAAGGGACACTGCTGTCCCTCTGCACAGTTCTCTGGTAACCACCTGCCATGCTGAGCTGCCATCAGTGTGGTTGTCTCCTCTAGCTCTGGGCTCCCAGGACCTCACAGGGCCTTGTGTTGTTGAAAGCTATTTTTAGAAAGTCTCAGCTCAGCTTTAATTAGCCGTTCAGTCTGTCATTTGGACTTAGGTGTGTGACTGGGAACCTGCTAAAAGAGCTTAAAGCTGAGGTCAGCAAGGGAGAGGTGTGGAGCTGGGCTGGGCTTGAACCAGGGACCTCCCGGCTCCTCATGAGCATCTGCTTCTCCGCCAGGACTGCCTGGGTCCAGAAGATCAAGGCGGCCTCAGAGCAGTACATCGACACTGAGAAGAGGAAACGGGAAAAGGCTTATCAAGGTACCTGCTAGTGCCCCGACGGGTGGGAGCCAGCTGCCAAGTGCTACAGGCAAACTGGAGTCTAGTCCTAGAAATGCCAGCTGCTGCCCCAGCAGTAAGGCCTGGGAGATGGATTCACATCACAGCAGAAGAGCCCAGGTACCCTGCCTCCCACGGCAGCTGCCCTGGGCTCTCACACTATGGGACCAGATGCAGGCCCTGCCTTCTCTGTAGCCAGCTATTACTGTCCCTGCCCCTTTCCCTCCACTCTGACCAGCCTCACCCTGCTGGGACATATCTTGTCTCACCTGACTCCACTTACTGGGTATGGCGCTCTGCCCCTGCCCTCTCAGACTCTGTCTCCCCTCCTGGCCTCCAGTACCCGAGGCCCAGTCGGTCCCTCCAGCACCTCAGCCCCACCACTCGGTACACTAGGTTCACTCTCCATCTTTCCCCCACTGCTATGTAGATGGCACTTTCAAGGACACTAGCAATCCACCCATTCCTTGTCCCAGCTTCCTCTACTTACACACACACACACACACACACACACACACACACACACACACACATTCTCCCCGACCTCCTCATATCCTGAGGCTCATCTACGCAGCTTCATCTGACTCTCAACTCTTTCCTCCCATCTTCCTGGGAGGCCGCCCTCCTCTGTTGTGTCTGTCAGACAACCCTCCCATGATCAGCTCAGTGGTGGGTTATGTCTTCTCTGCAATCCCAGCACTCCAGACAAGTCCCCTCCAGCAGCTCTGCTGGCCTCCCCAGGCCTCTGTCCTTGCAGAGGCTCCGTCAGCCTCCTCTCTTGACAGTGACAACTCTACTTATATGCCAACCCCCTGCCTGAGAATCTTCAAGCGTTTCAAATTAAGAAGAGTTTTTTACCCCAAACTAGGGCTCATCCCCAACATGGCCTATACCTAGACCCCTTCCCTACTCAGTCTCCCACTGCTGTGTCACAGGCAGCCGCCGGGCCTCTCCTTAGGACTGAGTGGAGCTGTGTTAGGGCTGCATTGCCCTCAGATGTCTCTTCTCCATTCTCTGAAGTCACCACTGACTCCTGGGGAGCAGGGGATCTGATCTGTCTGTGTCACACTGTGTCCTCTGTCCATAGGACAGGTCGTCCACCTGCTCAGTGTCCTAAAGGATCCTTGGCCCCCATGGCAGTGCCAGCCCCATCTTCCCAGTGCAGGCCCCTCCCCCTCCCACTTAGGCTCCCACTTCTGAAGCCGAAGCTCTCTGTGTGTTTTTATTCAGGTCCCCCTTACTTTGTTCTGGTTCCTGAAGGTATGTGAAGATTGACTTTTCCTAATTGAATACTATTTTAAAAGCTTGCTATTGAAAAATCAATGACTGAATCATTTCATAAAACATAATCTTCTAATTTGTCAAAAGTGCAAATCAAGGTTTTCCTGAGTTTCTCACTGTGTGTGTTCTGCATTCTCCATGGGTTTCTCACTGTGTGTTCTCTGTGGGTACAGTCCTTCAGACTCAGTTATGTGCTATGTGCCAAGCCCTGTGATGTGCATCACAGAGACAATAAGGCCAGGCTCTGCCTTCAAGGAACAAGGGCATGCTCCAAGGTAGAGACATGAGGACACTGGGGAGTAGGCTGTAGACCACTGGGGAGTAGGGTGTAGACCAGGCTATACATCACTGAAGCTGAGGCAGGAACCCTTCAAGGTTGAGGCCAGTCAGCCTGGGATACCTAACAATACCTTGTCTCAAAAAAATTTAAAAAAAGAAAGAAAAAAGGTGAGAAGACTACACATGTCCAGACCACAGGACTCACTCTGTCCAAATTGAAATATCTCAAAAACCTTTCTAAATAGATTAAACATGAAATAAAACTGCTCACCAAGATGAAATGCTTAAATAGAATTGAAATTTTGATGAGTGGTTTGCACTTTGTTATCTGATAGTTACATTTTAACCTTGCCATTTAAAAACTCTGGCCTAGGTGTGGTAGCACACACCTTTAGTCCTGCCACACTGGAGGCAAAGGGCAGGCAAACCTCTGTAAGTCCAAAACTAACCTGGTCTATATAGCAAGATCCAAGCCAGTCAGGGGACTCAGTCTCTGTCTCAAAACAAAACAGAAAAGGTCCCTGAGATGGGAGGATTCCAAGGTCAAGGCCAACAGCTTGGGCTAGAATGAGACCCTGTCTATAAAAAGCCTGTGAGCAGAGCACATGGTCCTTCCTAAGGCACAGTTTTCCTCACCTGTAAAATGGGAACTACCTTGTAAGGCAATTATGGAATTAAATATACTCTGTATAAAGATCTAGCATGTACCTAACACAAAGTAACCAGGAAATGCTATTTGCAAGAAGTACTGGACAAACTGCATGCATTTTAACTAATATAACTATTCATAGGTATTTGCCCGACTGCTACAGCTAGATAAAGCAGTCCATGCAACACAGTGGCTCCTCCCTGGCAGAGGAGGCAGACAGGGTGCAGCATGTCAGGCCTAGCAGGTTGTGGGGTGTGTCTCAGTCGAGGCTAGTGGTACTCAGAGGGAAGGAGGCTGCGGTGACTGAGACTAGCCTGCATCTTGAAAGATGAGTTACGTACGGATGGGCAAAGGATGCCAAAAAGGCATCCCTAGCAGGCGACACAGCCTGAGGAAGGAGCCAACGCTAGCTGCTAATCCCAGAGCAATAGCAGGTGATAGTAGTTAGTTCAGGGCTAAGTTCTAGTTGATTAGAGTGACACACAGCAGGAGCTAGAAGCATAGCCAGTGGCAGAGCATGGTCATGAGGCATGGGGGCTAGTCTCCAGCCTCAGAGAGAGTGTGTGAGAACAGACAGAGGCCCAAGCATTGCTTCTTCACTGTGGTGTCTGTCTACATTCTCAGAGGAAAAGTTAACATGACTCATTTCCTCTTTTGTAGCCCGTTCTCAAAAGACTTCAGGTATTGGGCGTCTGATGGTACATGTCATTGAGGCTACAGAATTAAAAGCCTGCAAACCAAATGGTAAGTGCTGCTTTTATTCAACAGCTGTGGTAACACCCTGTTTCTTACCTCTTTAGAACATGGAATAATGGGTAGTTTTTAAAACAGTGTCTCTGGTGTTGCTAGAACCCTGATAAGCTAACTCCTGGGCCAGTATCATTCACTATTTCCCAACAAGAACCAGCAGCCACCATTCTGACTGCTACTGCATGAGAGTACACAAAACATGCACAAAGGTACTTGGCCAGGCTTTCAGGGAGCAGTCCTGCTGTTAGGACATAAACTTGTTCCCCAGAATTGTGACGTCATTGGGAACATGGGGCCATACAGCTGCTAGACTCTAAGGTAACTGTCCTGCCAGGCAGTGGTGCTTCCTGCCATGGTCTCTGGTGAAGCAGCCTACAGACCCTGCCATGGTCACCCCATTCACTTTCCACACTGCATGTGTCTTTGGATTGTTTCTGTGCAGGGAAAAGTAATCCATACTGTGAAATCAGCATGGGCTCCCAAAGCTATACCACCAGGACCCTCCAAGACACACTAAATCCCAAGTGGAACTTCAACTGCCAGTTCTTTATCAAGGATCTTTACCAGGACGTTCTGTGTCTCACTATGTTTGACAGAGACCAGTTTTCTCCAGATGGTAAGTATAACTCGGCATGAAGGCCTAAAGGTACTCCCAGTTTTCTGGGGTCTGGAGTCTGTACCCAGGGTCCTAAGCTGTGCTTATACCTAACCCCACGACACCTACAGGAAATGACACAGGCCCATGTCAGCAGGAGGTGGGGGTTTGGGGGAGAGCATGTCCTACGAATACAGCCACTACCTGTATACATAAGGGAAACACTGGCCAGTCCTGGATGGGTAGAACATTCCACATAGGCAGCTGTCACTGTACATTTGTCTGCTGTCAGTATCAGAGATCCATTCAGTGTTTGAAAGTTGTCTAAATGCTATTTCAGACTCTCCTGCTTGGGAGTTTTTAAATCTTAATGGGAACAAAGATACCTCATCCTCACATGATGTTTATTTCCCAGACTTCCTGGGTCGTACTGAAGTTCCAGTGGCAAAAATCCGAACAGAACAGGAAAGCAAAGGCCCCACCACCCGCCGATTACTACTGCACGAAGTTCCCACTGGAGAAGTCTGGGTCCGCTTTGACCTGCAACTCTTTGAACAAAAAACTCTCCTTTGAGGGCCTGGAGAAGCCAGCACCAGGGGAGCTGCCCACAAGGCTGGGTCTAAAGAGAGATTTTGCTCTCCTGGGGCAGAGGAGCATCACATGGCTTCATCCATCAAAAAGCCACACTCGCTGGGCCTGTATTTTATTGCACACTAAATTGCTAGCAATCTATGCAAACATGATCTTTTAAACAAATGCCACAGCACAGTGCCTTGTACTCGTGTTAACACGCTCCACTGTGTCAGATGCCAGGGTTTCCATTTTCAGGGCTATAAAAGTATTATGTGGAAATGAGGCATCAGACCACCAGATGTTACCACTTGGCAAATGTGTCCACTGTGGAGTTGGTGATGCTGGAACCATTCCACACTATGTGACCTCTGCTGGGTCACAGCACTCAGGAGGTGAAGGGCTGAGATGAAATGCTGCAGCCTTGGGGCTTGTGCGGCCTGATACTGAAATAGCATCCACTTGTGCACTGAATAAACAGAACTTGATCGTTTTATTCTGATTAGAGTTTATCATTCTCTGCTAAGACAATATAGTTTGAACTATAAGGAGAAAAGCTTGATGTACTTTAAATATACTGTGAACTCTAATAATGTGGGAGTATTTTTCAACTTTAATTTTCTGAAGTATAAATTATTTATGTAAATTCCTTGTTTTGCATATTTCATAGAACATGCATCTTTAAGCTTTATCATTGCCAACATGTACAGAAAGAGAATAAAAGTATAAGTTTATGAATGTAACTCCTTTCAAAGCTTGACTCTTTATGTGAAAGGCTTTTAATGGTTACTTTCAGAAGTTGTTTATAATGAAGCCAGGAGGAGAGGGTGAGGTGGGGCCAGGAGAGCTGCCTGACCCTCCTACTAGCCTGCCCAGGGCTTTGTGGACATCTCTGTCAAGTTTCTGGGGCTTTATTTCACTGGTGACTTTTGTGGGTGGGTGAAGTGCATAGGAGCTGTGCTTGGCCAGTCTGAACCAAAGGGGTGACCCACAAAGAAGGGTGAAAGGCACATGTCAGGACTGTCTGCACATCTGTTGCTCTCCAGCTCCAGTATCCTGATCACATCCTGTCTCCTGTCCTGTCAGAGCCAGATCCATACTGCTAGTTTGGCCTTTGGCTACTGAAATATAATTTTTTAAAATATTTAACTAATTTTTGAACACAAAATCCTCACCCTTTGAAAGGATCACTTGGATGCTAAGGCAACAGCTTTTTCCAAGCAGCTCAAAGAGTAACTCAGAGCTCTTCCATTCTCCCCATTTTTATTTAAATATAATCACTGGCTGACTCACTTGAGAACACAGTTCAGTGTATTGAGATTGATTTTAAAGACTCATCCCTTACTGACCCCAGATACCGACCACAGCACCACTGGTTAAAACAGAAAAGAGCCTTTCCCTGGTACCTAAAACTGAAACAAGCAGCATCCTGCTTATCTACAAGGAGCTTTGAAGAACCAGGCACAGCCTGTTGAGCAAGCCTACTCCGGCTTTCCTGGGTTTGGGGGAGCAGGTTTTGTTGGTGCTGAATCAAGATGCAACTGAAGTCAGGGAGAGTTGCTGCAGACAGCCCTGTGTGGAGTATGACATGCCAATCCAGCAAGTTTGCATCACTCTTACTCTTCCCAGGACTGTGGGGACTTTGATCCTCACTGAGGTGAGTGTGACTAGTATTGTGTCTCTATTGCTCAACAATCAGGATACCTTGGTCAGATTTAAGACACCGGAGCCCTCAGGATCTGAGTCATATGACTTTGATGACTAGAGAGGGAACAACCAGCAACTCCAGTTGTCCTCTTCACCTAGTGACCCAGATCTGCCTCTGAGTTCTCTTCTCCACAGAAATGTGAGCCCAACTTTCTAGAGGATGTGAGGAGACTCCTTCTGTCACTAGGAAGCAGAGAGCCCTCACACAGCTAGAAGTCCCCTCTGGGTGGGGGTTCTTGTCAAGCCCCTTCAGTGCCCACAGAAGCAGCATGCAGATTTGTTCCCACTTCTATGCCTGAGTATCTGTGAGGAGAGCACCCTGGAGCAGGATCAGGACTGAACTTGAATAAAGCCCTGAGCTTTGAGCTGGGGACTGTCCCCAAGCCAGGCACAGAGCCCTTTTGAGCACTAAATTCTGGGAGATGATAAAGCTGTCATGCTGTTAAATGTTTCAATGAAACAAAAACACCACACAGACTTCCTAGATCACAGCCAGAACTTGAAAATCTAGCTGCTGTTATTTGTTAGTGAAAAAATAAAAATGATAATAATTCAGGACTGTTTTGGGGGC